ACGGTCGTGTCATTCATGTTATATACTTAGGCTATTGTAACGTTCAAGTGCTTATGAAGTCGGAACAATTCTGAAACCAATGAGATTGGCAACAACGTTTTCTCAGTTTCCCACTTGTAATTACTACTTGGAGGGTCATTCAAGGGAAACTTCCCAGTCAGAAATAGGATATCCGATAGAACCTGACCGCGGCATTAGTATGTGTGATCGACAACAGTAGGTTCTGGGTCCCTGCGTGTCCAGCCCCCATACCCATTCCCGACCACTGTGGAGTGAGTGTCAGTAGCCCACTATGTGTCTAGAATTGTTCCACTGCACCAGGGAACAGTGAGGGATGAAAGATACCTTCACTGAGGATACAACTTCACATTTCTCAAGTCATTCCATGTTTGCTTCATGCACTATATCATCCTGTAAAATAAAGTTAATGTTGTACATGCTCTCTGTTTTCTTTATCTTTGCATTTGTAAATGTTTCATTACATAAAAATGTTAAGTTGACTTGATGAAAGTTAAGTTATATCTCTTTTGGTTTTGTTGGTCATACTTGCTGTAGTCTGATCTTTTTGTGCCAGACTACGATCTATAATTAGCTAACTAGTTAATTTATATCAAAATCATACATTTGACTAGCTAGCTGATTTGGAGTTGATAACAAGCAAGCTACAGTTATTAGCTGGCTGGCTTTCTATGGGCGGAACAATGCAAGCTAACGTTAGTTGCTACTTGCTAGCCACAAAATCGTAACGTTTAACAGGTTGCAGTTGTCCAATATGTCACTCGTTTTAGTATAGAAGAGTTGTTATAATGTTTTGGAAATGTGTGTGATGATTTATGTGCCTTTTTCGTGATGTTAGCAGCAAACGATGTCGGAACTCCGAAGGTATGTGCTAGCTAGCTACTCTGTGTGGGTTTGTTTATCACGGAAGGATTGGATGGAAACGGACTGGTTGGATGGTAACGGAATGGCTGGGGCACTCCTACGTAAAACAATAGATCATGATTCATTCAATTTGAAATGGGAAACAGGTACAAAAGTATCTATATCCACAGTAAAACTAGTCATATATCTTCATAACCTGAAAGGCCGCTCAGCAAGGAAGAAGCCACTGCTCCAAAACCGCCATAAAAAAGCCAGACTACGGTTTGCAACTCCACATGGGGACAAAGATCGTACTTTTTGGAGAAATGTCCTCTGGTCTGATGAAACAAAAATTGAACTGTTTTGCCATAATGACCATCGTTATGTTTGGAGGAAAAAGGGGGACGCTTTCCAGCCGAAGAACACCATCCCAACCGTGAAGCACGGGGGTGGCAGCATCATGCTGTGGGGTTGCTTTGCTGCAGGAGGGACTGGTGCACTTCACATAATAGATGGCATCATGAGGAAGGAAAATTATGTGGATATATTGAAGCAACATCTCAAGACAACAGTCAGGAAGTTAAAGCTTGGTCGCAAATGGGTCTTCCAAATGGACAATGACCCCAAGCATACTTCCAAAGTTGTGGCAAAATGGCTTAAAGACAACAAAGTCAAGGTATTGGAGTGGCCATCACAAAGCCCTGACCTCAAAATGTGTGGGCAGAACTGAAAAAGCGTGTGCGAGCAAGGAGGCCTACAAACCTGACTCAGTTACACCAGCTTAAGGAGGAGGACCAATGCGCAGCGTTGAATGCGTACATATTATTTATTAAACAGATCACCCGATCAAAACAACGAACGAAACGTGAAGTCCTTCGATACACACAAACCAAAAGGAACAAGAAACCACAACCACAAAGTGAAAACAGACAGTTTAAATATGGCTCCCAATCAGAGACAACCAGAAAACAGCTGACACTCGTTGCCTCTGATTGGGAGCCATATTTAAACTGTCTGTTTTCACTTTGTGGTTGTGGTTTCTTGTTCCTTTTGGTTTGTGTGTATCGAAGGAATTCACGTTTCGTTCGTTGTTTTGATCGGGTGATCTGTTTAATAAATAATATGTACGCATTCAACGCTGCGCATTGGTCCTCCTCCTTAAGCGAACGTGACAGAAGAAACCACCAAAAATGGACCAAGCAGCGTGAAGAGGAGAGAGGAAGGACCTGGGATCAGGGGAGTAGGAGTTTCGGCTGGGCCACGCTAAGTGAAGAGGAGAGAGGCTGGTCTATGAAGCAATGGATCGAGAGTCTGGCGAGAGCTGGGGAGGAGAGAACCCCAGAAAATGTTTAGGGGGGGGGCTCACGACGTGGACGACGGGGTAGCCGGAGGCCGCGATGGAGCGGTCCAGCGGGTGTGCAGAGGAGGCCGCCAGGTTAAGGGGGCCACTGGTCACAGAGGAGAGGGAAAGTGTGGAGGCACGGCGAGAGGTACTGGGGTGTATTACCAGTCCGGTCCGGCCCGTTCCTGATCCCTGCATAGGGCCAGTGGCGTGTGTCCCCAGTACGGTTCGGCCTGTTCCTGCCTCTCGCACCGAGCCTGTGGTGCGCGTCGTCAGCCCTGTCCGGCCCGTTCCTGCTCTCCGTACCAAGTCTGTGGTGCGCGTCGCCAGCCCAGTCCGGCCCATCCAAGCTTCCCGCACCAAGCCAGTGGTGTGCGTCGTCAGTCCGGCACGGCCCGTTCCTGCTCTCCGCACCAAGTCTGTGGTGCGCGTCGCCAGCCCAGTCCGGCCCATCCAAGCTTCCCGCACCAAGCCAGTGGTGTGCGTCGTCAGTCCGGCACGGCCCGAGCCTGCTCTCCGCACCAAGTCTATGGTGCGTTGCGTCAGCCCTGTCCGGCCCGTTCCTGCTCTCCGCACCAAGTCTGTGTTGCGCGTCACCAGCCCAGTCCGGCCCATCCAAGCTCCCCGCACCAGGTCAGTGGTGCGCGTCGTCAGCCCGGTCCGGCTCATTCCTGCTCCCGGCACCAAGTCAGGGGTGCGCTTCGTCAGCCCGGTCCGGCCCGTTCCTCCTCCACGCATCAAGCCAGGGTTGTGCGTCGTCAGTCCAGCACAACCCGTGCCTGGGTCAAGCCCGGAGCCGGAACCGCCACCGAGGAAGTATGCCCACCCAGCCCTCCCCTGTTTTGCTATTTTTGAGGCGCGGTCGCAGTCCGCGCCTTTAGGGGGGGGTACTGTCACGCTCTGGCTCCGGGACTCTGTATGTTGAGCCAGGATGTGTTCGTTCTGTGTGGGTTGTTTCTATGTTGGGTTTTCTAGGTTGTTGTTTTCTGTGTTGGCCTAAGTGACTCCCAATCAGAGGCAATGAGTGTCAGCTATTTGCTGGTTGTCTCTGATTGCGAGCCATATTTAACTGTCTGTGTTTCACTTTGGGTTTGTGGGTTTTTGTTCCGTGTCGGTATTTTTTTACCGTGGACTTCACGAGTCGTGTTTTGTTTGGTATACTTTAACTATTAAAGTCATGTTTGTTTCACACGCTGCGCCTTGGTCTACTCACTCCTACGACGATCGTGACAACCCAGTCCTCTCTCACCTCATCTCTATAGTTGTCTAGTGAATACCACCCAGTCCTCTCTCTCACCTCATCTCTATGGTTGTCTAGTGAATACCACCCAGTCCTCTCTCTAACCTCATCTCTATGGTTGTCTAGTGAATACCACCCAGTCCTCTCTCTCACCTCATCTCTATAGTTGTCTAGTGAATACCACCCAGTCCTCTCTCTCACCTCATCTCTATGGTTGTCTAGTAAATACCACCCAGGCCTCTCTCACCTCATCTCTATGGTTGTCTAGTGAATACTACCCAGGCCTCTCTCACCTCATCTCTATGGTTGTCTAGTGAATACCACCCAGGCCTCTCTCACCTCATCTCTATGGTTGTCTATTGAATACCACCCAGTCCTCTCTCACCTCATCTCCATGGTTGTCTAGTGAATATCACCCAGTCCTCTCTCTCACCTCATCTCTATGGTTGTCTAGTGAATATCACCCAGTCCTCTCTCTCTCTCACCTCATCTCTATGGTTGTCTATTGAATACCACCCAGTCCTCTCTCACCTCATCTCCATGGTTGTCTAGTGAATACCACCCAGTCCTCTCTCTCACCTCATCTCTATGGTTGTCTAGTGAATACCACCCAGTCCTCTCTCTCACCTCATCTCTATGGTTGTCCAGTGAATACCACCCAGTCCTCTCTCTCAACTCATCTCTATGATTGTCTAGTGAATACCACCCAGTCCTCTCTCTCACCTCATCTCTGTGGTTGTCTAGTGAATACCACCCAGTCCTCTTTCTCACCTCATCTCTATGGTTGTTTAGTGAATACCACCCAGTCCTCTCTCTCACCTCATCTCTATGGTTGTTTCTAGTGAATACCACCCAGTCCTCTCTCTCACCTCATCTCTATGGTTGTTTCTAGTGAATATCACCCAGTCCTCTCTCTCACCTCATCTCTATGGTTGTCTGAAGTGGTGTTGCTCTCTGTCTCCCTCTGCAGGTGCAGCACAGGATCACAGGCCAGGTGATGGCCCTGAAGATGAACACTCTGGCCAGCAACAAGGCTAACATGCTCAGGGAGGTGCAGCTCATGAACCGGCTGTGCCACCCCAATATACTGGGGTATGACTAGACAGAAAGACACACACACACACACACACAGACATTGCATGTACAGTACATGTGTACAATGTACAACACATTCATGTACACACTTGGCTATGTGCGGTGCATATTGCACAACCACCATTTCACCATCACTCAGACCCATTGGTAGTAGCACTGTGTTGTTGTCACAGATGGAACGGGTTAGTTATTAGAATCTCTGTTGTTGTTGTGTCTGTAGTAGTCTACCTTTGCTGTGGGTAGAACTTAAACCAACGCTCAACAGCACCACCCCAAGGGAAAACACTAGTATTTATTTTTGTTTTACTGCTAAATCTGGAAAGAAAGACAAACCTAAAACTAGCTAGTAAACTGCTGCAACCATTATCAGATAGAGGACAGACACACACAAACTCTCTTCCATGTTTAAGACATTGCATTGTTGTTTTTAGCAGTATATATGATGTATTTAGGATGTTTTCAATGCTTTCCCTCTCTCTGCTCAGGTTCCTGGGAGTGTGTGTGCATGAGGGCCAGCTCCATGCTCTAACTGAGGTGAGCTCATCCTGATTCTGTCTCTCTGGGGGGAATCCTTGCGTTTTATCTTCCAGAGACAATAGTGTCCATGGTAACAGAATTGGCTGCATGCATGGGCCATAGCAAGTAAGAAGAGACGGGTTGCATTCCATTTCAATTAAATTCTGCAAATGCCTGCAAAGAACATAGGCTAAGGCCTCTACAGAATATTAGGTCCTTACAATGCCTATGGAAATGTTTAACGTCTCAGGAACCACATCAATTTAGTGTAGGGTTAATGAAAATGTAATATGTGCAGGCAGGCGTGCACAGAATCTGTGTGTCTGGAATGGACTCAATCTCATGAACTGTGTGAGGTGATTGACGCGTGTGTGTGCTGTTGTCATGGTTACCCACAGTACATCAACGGGGGTAACCTGGAGCAGCTGCTGGACAGTGACAGGTATCTGTCGTGGTCGGTGAGGATGGGCCTGTCTCAGGACATCGCCTGCGGGCTGCAGTACCTCCACAGCAAGGGCATCTTCCACAGAGACCTCACCTCCAAGGTAGGAGATAGTAGGATACAGGGTACCAGACAGACAGACACACAGTAACACATCCCTTCACTTTTTTGCATTAATTGTTCGTTTCATCTCCCACTGACTCTCACATACACTCATATGCCCTCTCTCTCCTCTCTCTCTTTCATAGAACTGTCTGGTGCGCTGTGAGAATGGTGTGTTCACTGCAGTAGTGGGAGACTTTGGTCTGGCAGAGAAGATTCCAGACTACAGGTTAGTGCTGTGAGAAAGTCCCCCAGACTACAGGTTAGTGCTGTGAGAAAGTCCCCCAGACTGTAGGTTAGTGCTGTGAGAAAGTCCCCCAGACTACAGGTTAGTACTGTGAGAAAGTTCCCCAGACTACAGGTTTGTGCTGTGAGAAAGTCCCCCACACTACAGGTTTGTGCTGTGAGAAAGTCCCCCAGACTACAGGTTAGTGCTGTGAGAAAGTCCCCCAGACTACAGGTTAGTACTGTGAGAAAGTCCCCCAGACTACAGGTTAGTGCTGTGAGAAAGTCCCCCAGACTACAGGTTAGTGCTGTGAGAAAGTCCCCCAGACTACAGGTTAGTGCTGTGAGAAAGTCCCCCAGACTACAGGTTAGTGCTGTGAGAAAGTCCCCCAGACTACAGGTTAGTGCTGTGAGAAAGTCCCCCAGACTACAGGTTAGTGCTGTGAGAAAGTCCCCCAGACTGTAGGTTAGTACTGTGAGAAAGTCCCCCAGACTACAGGTTTGTACTGTGAGAAAGTCCCCCAGACTACAGGTTAGTACTGTGAGAAAGTCCCCCAGACTACAGTAAGACTATATGACTGGCTCACCATATTCCCACCATGACTGCACATATAACCTAGTCTAGATGAATGCAAGTCAAATACATTGTTGTACATTCTATTCTGTTTTCCTCTCCTGCAGTGACGGGGCTGATAAGCAGCCTCTGGCCGTGGTGGGCTCCCCCTACTGGATGGCCCCGGAGGTGCTGAGAGGGGAGGTCTATGATGAAAAGGTACTAACAGTACTCTACTGTTTCCTGGCTGCTATCTCATGATGTTATAAGAGTCATCTGATCCCAGTGCATGATGAGAGGAAGAAAACACAGTAATACAATGTAATAATACTATGTTATAATGCAATCTGGAAGGACAACTGTTACATTTCCCTTCTGTGTTTTTCTGGTTGTGTCTAGTGGGTCTTGTTAATATGTATGTTGCTAGCAAATGACCAGACTCTTTCAAAGTGTATTATTGTGAATATTTCAAGTGAGATGTTATTTATCAGAGGTGATTGGCTGACTCTGACCTCTGACCCCTAGGTGGATGTGTTTGCCTATGGAATCATCCTATGTGAGATCATCGCCCGGATAGAGGCTGATCCAGACTTCCTACCTCGCACTGAGGTACACACACACACACACACACAACCCCACAGTGTATAACAGGCACACAGTTAACCAATGTTTTTCCTTCTTAAATTACCCTAAATCAATGCTTTCATACTATCACACAAACTGACAGTGTATGAACAAACCCTTAATCCAACCCTTTCACCACCACTATACAACCCCAGTAAGCCTACTGCAGCCAAATAGCACCATATAACCATGTCTACTGCAGCCAAACAGCACCATATAACCATGTGTACTGCAGCCAAACAGCACATTTTTACATTAACATTTTAGTCATAGCAAGACGCCTCTTATCCAGAGCGACTACAGCACCATATAACCCAGTCTACTGCAGCCAAAACAGCACCATATAACCATGTGGTACTTTGCAGCCAATAGCACCATATAACCATGTCTACTGCAGCCAAACAGCACCATATACCATGTCTACTTGCAGCCAAACAGCACTATAACCATGTCTAATGCAGCCCCAACAGCACCATATAAAAAACCATGTCTACTGCAAGCCAAACAGCAACCATATAAAACATGTCTACTGCAGCCAAACAGCACCATATAAAAACATGGTTACTGCAGCCAAACAGCACCATATAACCAGGTCTACTGCAGCAACAGCACCCTATAACCCATGTCTACTGCAGCCAAAAACAGCACCATATAACCATGTCCTGCAGCCAAACAGCCCATATAACCATTCTACTGCAGCCAAACAGCACCATATAACCATGTCGTAACTGGCAGCCAAACAGCACCATATAACCATGTCTACTGCAGCCAAACAGCACCATATAACCATGTCTACTGCAGCCAAACAGCACCATATAACCATGTCTACTGCAGCCAAACAGCACCATATAACCATGTCTACTGCAGCAAACAGCACAATAACATGTTCTGAACATTCTTGTCGCCACTTTGACCACAGCACCATATAACCATGTCTACGAGAAGTACCATCCTTCCCATGTCTGCAATGTTCTGAGCCAACAGCACTTAATCATGTTCGTAATCTTTCCATTGACCGTAAGGCCATCCTTCCTTACGAAGTTACACTAAATGCAGTGAAAGACTTGAATATTTAATCACTGCAGTGCAGGGCAGCAGTCCCATTTGCATGTGAGGTTTAAAGAGGAACTGACAGCATTTTAACTACTTTGCAGATATGAAACAAACAGACAATCATAATATCAGTAAAAAATATCAAATTCCCAGTTTATGCTACAAAACCAACCAGGTTTTAAACGTAGGTTCTATTTTACTCCAAATTCCATGACGTACACTAAGGCATTGTTGGCAGAATAGATGGATGCAGTTCAATGAATTAATATAATTCACCAATACATTGGTAGTCCAAAAAATATTACTATCAGGTTGTAAATCACAGCTGGCCTAGTACATTGTTTGCTGCCTCCACCCATTCAGGAAGCACTGTTTCGGTTTCAAAGGCTGGGAATTTCACTACAATCACAGACAGTGTCACCAGCAAAGCACCCCCACACCATAAAACCTCCTCCTCCATGCTTTACGGTGGGAAATACACATGCAGGGATTTTTTTATTTTATTTAACCTTTATTTAAGATCATCCGTTCACCCACACCCCGTCTCACAAAGACACGGCGGTTGGAACCAAAAATCTCCAATTTGGACTCCAGACCAAAGGACACATTTCCACCAGTTTAATGTCCATTGCTCGTGTTTCTTGGCCCAAGCAAGTCTCTTCTTCTTATTGGTGTCCTTTAGTAGTGGTTTCTTTGGAGCAATTCGACCATGAAGGCCTGATTCACACGGTCTCCTCTGAACAGTTGATGTTGAGATGTCTGTTACTTGAACTCTGTGAAGCATTTATTTGGGCTACAATTTCTGAGGCTGGTAACTCTAATGAACTTATCCTCTGCAGCAGAGGTATCTATGGGTCTTCCATTCCTGTGGCGGTCCTCATGAGAGCCAGTTTCATCATAGCGCTTGATGGTTTTTGCGACTGCACTTGAAGAAACTTTCAAAGTTCTTGAAATGTTCCATATTGACTGACCTTCATTTCTTAAAGTAATGATGGACTGTTGTTTCTCTCTTGCTTATTTGAGCTGTTCTTGCCATAATATGGACTTGGTCTTTTACCAAATAGGGCTATCTTCTGTATACCACCCCTACCTTGTCAAAACACAACTGATTGACTAAAACGCATTAAGAAGGAAAGAAATTCCACAAATTAACTTTGAAGAAGGCACACCTGTTAATTGAAATGCATTCCAGGTGACTATCTCATGAAGCTGGTTGAGAGAATGCCAAGAGTGTGCAAAGCTGTCATCAAGGCAAATAGTGGCTATTTGAAGAATCTCAAATATAAAATATATTTTGATTTGTTTGACTTGTTACTAAATTATTCCATATGTGATATTTCATAGGTTTGATGTCTTCACTATTATTCTACAATGTAAAAATAAAGAAAAACCCTTGAATGAGTAGGCGTGTCCAAACTTTTGACTGGTAGTGTATGTAATTCTCAAACATTCTAAGAATTTATGAAAACGTGAAAATGACCATATCCAAGTGCTCGCTTGTCAGAAAATGTAAAACAAAAAAACAGTGTCATTCTTCCTGGGGGGTGTATATAAATAGATTTTAATAAGACTTCATGTTACTAAAATGCTGTCAGTTCCCCTTTTGAGTATACCTTTCACAGTGTATGTCTCCATCGAGTGGATACTATGGAGAACTACAACACGTATGTTTTTTTAAACCTAGTCAGACAAACTGATTGACAGCTAGTTGGCTACATAAGACGATGATGATGATGATGATCCTCTGTGTGTGCAGGACTTTGGACTAGACGTGGATGCCTTTGAGAACCTGGTCGGTGACTGTCCAGCACCATTCCTCAACCTTGCAGTCCTCTGCTGCAATGTAAGATACAGACTGACAGACTGACATAATAATTGCATGCATCCATGACTCTGTGTACATACTTACTATAAATACATAGATTGACAACCTAAAACGACCATACATTCCAAAAAGTAGGCACTGTTTACACTCTTCCTGCTCCCCTCACTCTGTTTCTCCCTCTTTCTCAGATGAATGCAAAGATACGTCCCTCGTTCTCCGAGATAGTGGTTGTTGCTGGAGGGGATGGAGAGAGGAGAGGAGGAGAGGAAGACGGTCATCCCTCTGGGTGATTATCTCTCCTCAGAACCCGCTACCGTCCACATCAGCCCCTACCGACGACGGAGTTCCCCCTGTCGCCCCGGCGACCAGCGGTTGTCACGGAGCCAGTCGGACATGCTTCCCCCAACGACGCCCCCTCTAGGCACCCCGGCACGGGTCAACCCTTTCTCCCTGCGGCAGGACCTGAACGGGGGCCGCATCAAGCTTTACGACACCCCCAAGCAAGTCTGTCATCTCCCTGACCTTCACCCTCCCCCAGCAGCCTGACCCCTGCGCATCTCCCCCCCTCAGGGTGAACCTCTTCCTCCGCGGGCCCCCCCGACGCTGCCAGTCCCTCCCCTGCACCCCCAAGCAGGGGCACACCCTCGCCCTCCTCCGGGACCCCGACCTGCAGAGCTTGGGGAAAGAGGAGGAAGAGGAGGTAGAGGAGGTGGAGAATGAAAGGAGGAAGGAGAAGGGAGGGATGGTGGAGGATGAAAGGAGGAAGGAGAAGGGAGGGATGGTGGAGGATGAAAGGAGGAAGGAGAAGGGAGGGATGGTGGAGGATGAAAGGAAGAAGGAGAAGTGAGGGATGGTGGAGGATGTGTCAGATGATTCAGGGCTGCCTCTGGAACTGGGCATGGTGTCTCTGGAAGAGGAAGAGGAGGAAGGTTTTTCTCTGGGGGAGCCTATGGACTGCAGCAGGTCTCCTGACACACTAGAGGGTGATGTCCCTACACCAGGGAGTCTTCTCCTACACCCAGCCTCGTCCTGTTCCTCCCTATTTTTGCAGCCTAACGGCTGGGGTCACCCAGTCTCCAACGCCCCCCCCTCCTTCCCTCCTCTCCCCCGTCTGGACAACAACAACGGCTCGGCGACGGTGGTCGTCGGCCGTCCGACTGGCTGGAGGGCTAGTGGCTACCACGCCGCAATCCCGGGCCCCCCTGCTGGCCCCGCCCCTGAGCAAGATGAGGTAATTTCCTGTCCGGGCTGTTGTCTGATTGGTCTGAGCTTTCCGTCCGTGTGCATGAAGGGGGCGCCGACCCCTCGCCGCTTACCGCCCGGGCGACCCTACCGGAACCTCAACGGGGGCGGCATCGGTGAAGCATCAGCTGCCACGGCAACCAAGGGACTGCTTTGTTGCGGGTCGAATGGTCTCGTTCCTCCGACCGCGCCTTGCGTTCCTGGGCTGCCCCTACCGGAGGCACAGACTTAGGGAGGGCTCCCCCTAGTGGGCTGGCTGACCAACAACAACAACACCAGTGACATTACTGAGACTTTGACTGGTACTGTTCAGTGATGCTATTACTATTTATTATTACTATTAGGAACTGGGGAGCTGATGATGATGTTGATGATGAAGATGATTACTACTACTACCTGAAGTGGATGAACAGCTTGCCTTTGTGTGTGAATGAATTATTTTCTTCTAGTGTGTGTGTGTGTGTGTGTGATTGAGGATGTTATGGGGACACTGGTGGTTGTATTGGGAGTAAAAAGGGAGAAGCATAATGGGAAATCAGAAGTGATTATTAATCTGATTTGATAATTACAGTGTGTCACTGGTTTGTTCACTACTAATGATTTTTCACTGGACTGGGTGGTGCTTGAGATTTGTATTGAATTCAAACAGGTGCTTCTTCTTCCCTCAAACCTCAAAGTTGTATTCCCATAACTCACTAGATCCAGGTTTCCTCTCAGTGTGTGTATGTGTGTGTGTTTGTGTTTTAACAGCTCGTGTAACTTTGAAACAGCATGAAAAGCAATTATCCTAGTTGATTTACTTATTGTACTGATTATTCCACCCAAAGTTCTGTATGTGTGTGAGTGTGAGAGAGTGAGTGACTCTGATGTCAGTTTTGAAATGTTAATGGTTCTCTGGTCATTTCCCTGTACCTGTGCGTGAGAGATTAGAGAACTGAGTGCAATAATTTAATATAAAGTGAGTTTACTAGTTTCTTTTTTTACACTATTTATAAGAATCACTGCACTCTTGATTTCATAGGCCTGCTGGTTTCTTGACTGTTGAGGCTGACTGTCTGTATCTGAAATGGTACCCTAATACCTATGGGCCCTGGTCAAAAGCAGTGCACTATATAGGAAATAGGATGCCATTTTGTCTGTCATTCCCAGAGTTTAAGGCGTGTTTGTCTCCCTCTGCTGGCCTGGAGGACCCAGACAGACCAGGCCACTGTGGCTCACATGGCTGTGTCTCAATACTCTTAAATGGCTTCCTTTCCTCATACCCATTCCTTCTAGGAGAAGCTATACGTGACCAGACCAGGGAAAACTCCAAGCCTTAGTTATAGACCTGAATGTTTTCCTACTCAGGTCACTTGGTCAGGAAAAGGTCCCAGCCATATTCATATCCTATCAACTGATATGAGGGGACTTAAAAAGTGTATGACTATATGGCTATAGCTATTAACCTTTTTAACTAGTTCTAACCAGTTAATCTAGCTAGTGATCTCTAGCAGAGGAGGAGGAAAGATGAACCAGAGTATTGGGATGTAGCCGGTCTCACTGAACTGTGCTGGCCAGAGTCTCTTCAGTACTTCACTGTTTAAACAGCATGATTTACAGTCTGGACAACTGTGTGCATCTATTCAAAGAATTCCACTGTTCTGTCCCATATTGATGATGTCATAATGACAATGGTACGAACACCGACCCATATGTCCATGGAACGACCGAGTCAGGGAGTGTAATGCAAGTCATGAACAATCTTTTTTATAAGGCTGAGAATCTTGTCGATTTAAAACATATTTGATTGATAATACCAATAAATTAAAGCTGTCTTTAAATCACGTATGGAGCTAACTACTACACCCTTCTGCTGGCTGGGATGTTGGTTGGTCTGTTGCTAGGTGAAATAATAATTTATTATGGATGTGACTCTGTTCTTATCTAGAAACAACCCTTCCCCCAAGATACTTGTAGAGATCTGAGATGATTTATAGGTTGAAGCGATATAGTGATAGCTCCACCTTGCCCTCTGATAGGCTAGGTGGAATTCCACCATATTGCTTAAACCTGTCCACTCCTCTCAGATCTCCACCAGTGACTATAGGAAGGGGCTAGTTAGGGGTTGTTTCTGGACAGGGCCTCTGCTGTTTCTACTAGAACCCTTCCTCTATATGCAAGGCTCTTCTGATTAGCGTTGTTACTGTAAGTATCATCATTGGGAATTACCAGCTTTAATAAACTGTCATGATTATTTGTTATTTAAAGAAAATGTCCTAATTTGATTAAAAATGTAAACATTGAATGTAATATCTGTCTTGAGTTATTTATACCGACAGTATATGTACAGTATATAGACTACAGTATTGTTGATTACAGAAACAATGGTGGACATTTTGAGGAAAGTGGGGACAACAGACTGGGATAGGGAGTGATTGAGTATGTCTGTAAACACTCATTGGTCAGTTTATTAGGTACACCACCCTGTTCATGAAAATGGTTCGCACCTACAGACAGTCATATGGCCGTGGCTTGCTATATAAAGCAGGCAGACAGGCATCAAGGCATTCAGTTACTGTTCGATTGAACGTTAGAATGCGCAAAACGAGTGAGGTGGAAAGAGAATGGCAAGATAACAGGCGGGCCACAAAAAGGTAAATAACAGCGCAGCACAACAGTGGTGTGCACAACGGCATCTCAGAACGCACAACCCATCGGTCCTTGTCATGGATGGGCTATTGCAGCAGACGACCACACCGGGTTCCACTCCTATCAGCTAAAAACAAGAAGCGGCTCCAGTGGGCATGCGATCACCAACACTGGACAATTGAGTGGAACAACATTGCCTGGTCTGACGAATCCTGGTTCCTGTTGCGTCATGCTGATGGCAGAATCAGGATTTGGCGTAAGCAGCATGAGTCCATGGCCCCATCCTGCCTGGTGTCAATGGTACAGCCTAGTGTAATGGTGTGGATAATGTATTCCTGGCACACGTTATGTCCCTTGATACCAATTGAGCAATGTTTGAACGCCACACCTTGTAGAATCCATGCCCCGAATAATTCAGTCTGTTCTGGAGGCAAAGTGGGGTGCGACCCGGTACTAGATGGGTGTACCTAATAAACATAACGTTTTATAGAATAGAGGTCAAGGGATCAGTATTTACAGACCAAAAGAATGACAGGATAGAAATATACAATATATTATTTATTTTACATAGCCTAATTCAATACCTTTTTAATTAGTTATATCAGTTTGCAAGGAAAGGTAATGTCTCTGATTCTCCAGCTAGCCAATAGCTGAATGGCTTTGAAAATGGAGATGGGGACGCTATCAAATTGTAGGTTT